CTTGAAAAATGGTGTGTATTGACTTCTTTCCGCGGTTGAAACAAGATACCTTCTGATGTTCATTCATGTTTATTTTGTGCTATAACTAGTAAAGAGGAAGAGATGATTGGTTCACATGCTGCTTGAACTGAGGCGCTACAACGATCTGTCATGACACAATAAAGAGCCACAAAACGCTATTAATGTTTGAATTTCAATTTTTTTTGAATATGTTTCATAACAAAAGTAACCTGATCTGTCTTGTCTGTCGGCACATTATCAGTTTCCTCTTTGCTTCGCGATGTATTTTTCACTGCGCTGTAGTTGGGTGCAGAAAACTCTGTCAGAATCTTTTAGTACACTGTTTCATTTCACCATTAAAAAAATTAACCAAATGAATGAACCAAAAGAAATTTGTGTCAGTTTGCAACCCTAATCAAAAGATGTTGATTTTGGTCTATACATTACACAAACCTATACAATAACTTGAGTAATATTTGGAATATAGTGCATACTACAGACTACTTTGATGGTGTTTTTATCTGTTAGTGAGCTGTTGTTTATGGAAAGACCTGTGTAACAATGGACTCTATGCACGGTCACTTCCGCGTTTTTACTCAGGGGGCTTACTTACATCCGGTGCTGCGCCGGAAGCCATTGTTCCTTACGTAGAGGTTTCAAAATGACAAGATGAGAAGATGATTTTTCAGCTTACAAGAGCTTCCCCGGATTACTGTAAATTAATTTTATCGCACGGAGAAGGGCATTAAACGTTTCAAGTTACATTGACAACTTTAGGGTGAGTATTGTGTTATTGTCTTCTAGCAAATCTAGCTCATAACGCTGGATAACGCTGCATGACTTCTGCGCCGATTTGATCAGCACTTAACTAATTCTGATCTTGTTTGCTTTTTTACTGAACAGCTTCACCATGTTTGTGTTAGGGATCCCTGGAAAACTGCTATTATTAAATATAATCAATCAAATCAAGCTTCAGGTTAGAGACAATAAAAATTGAAAGTATAACAACTGTCAGACTTAGGTGTATTACGATACATGGCAATCTAAAAATCGGAACAGTATTTAAAATACTTTATATCAAGTGAAGACGTTCATATTACAGCAAACACCTATCAGAGCCACAGATACAAACAAACGTGGATTACCGGGAGCTCTGCTGTTATTGCTATACTACCTCTTAGAAGTTACCTCAGGTGAACGGAGTTTAAAGATAAACTCTAACTTAACCCTGCTATTTAAGAGGGATAGGGAAACCCTTTGAAATATTACTGAACTCTTTACAGTGTATTGGCATGTTTGTAACATTATATAGACTATTCATACTTTATTTCAAATATAGTTTAATTTACAATGTAACAATTTAAAATGCAACTGAAGGTAATTCAAAATGTATCTGAACTCAATTCAATATGTAACCCAATGTAATTATCTTCACAGATTGTTTTAAAGGACTCCCATCCAAACATCCACACTATTCAGAACCATTCAGAATCTATTCAGAACCATTCAGAATCTATTCAGAACCATTCAGAATCTATTCAGAACCATTCAGAATCTATTCAGAACCATTCAGAATCTATTCAGAACCATTCAGAATCTATTCAGAACCATTCAGAATCAGTACAGTTCCTCCTGTACAGAGCTGCACTGAATGGAACAGAGCTGGCACAAACCTAGAACAATGGTAAGTGGTAAGTAAGAGAATTATCAAATTCTTTAATGATTGA